GTCGACAATAGGAAGTAAATTCGGCAATACTTCGCCGAGAAGAAATGTGCGACAAAATCTAGATCTTATTACATTAACAATAATTACTTCGTGAACAATTGAAATATACAATTTTACAGTAGACGGCAACGGTTCTCAAACGCGCAATAACGCCAGTCTCGACTTTAAAGAATTCTCAATAATTTACAATTACACAAGTGACTTGGCGGCAACGAGGGCGAGCAGCTACACTATTATATATTCTCAAATTAGAGCGTCTGAGCGGAGGGCACGTATTCACGACAACAATGACTCGAAACGCCTAGAGGCGACCGATCCGGAATCGGCAACGAAAATTCGGAGTAACGCCTAACGTGTGCTCCGCTCGAGACGCGTATCACGTACCGCGATCGGTGGTTTTACAGAATTATTAGATGACGCCCGCCTCACCACACAACGATCCCTCGACGTTCCTTTATCGGAAGCGGTCCTCGCTATCCTTTATCGGCAATCGGCGAAAGTTCCAGCTAGATCTCAAATGCTCCGGAGATCCTGCGTCCTCTTCACAAGTACTCGATCACCGCGCAAGTGATGATCGGGAGCATTCGTGGATCTACGCAGGCCGCTAGACCCTCTCTTATCGGGCCGCTACTTGCTCTAATTGGTCTATTGTAGTCGCGCAACCCCGCGACCAATTACAGTGCGTCCTGCGGGTTGCGTATCCTTTGAGTGTTCGGCGCGCTTTTCCAAATTAGCTGGCCGAGGCTTTCCGTCTATATCGGCGGTCTTCTATTGCTCTCCTCAGAAGTGGAGGCGGCTGCCAGTTCTCTGGCCGTGTTGAGACGGTCCCTTATTACGTCTCTCTCCGAGTCGTCTGCAATAAAGGGGCGACTATCACCAACCAATATCATAATTATCAAAGATAACCAAAACAATACGACCTGCGTGTACCGCGCTCCTCGAGGACACGATCGGGATCTCCCTTGGTAGTTTCTTGCTTCCTCGGCGTCGTCTTCTTTCTTCCTTCCGTGAGTGAGGCGGCAACATTACACAGATTTAAACAACCACCGTTCACGCTCTAAAGTGACTAATAATTGTTCTTTAAAAATCTGAAAAGTTACTAAATATCTTATATAAAGAATATACAAAACGAAACAAAAAATACAAATTTGGCACGCTCGCATGTGCCCTCGCCCTTCGAGTTTAGAGGACACAGGATCTCCGTGCCAGTGCACTTACGAGTGACGGACACAAAGTGTCACGTCACAATACATACGTACTACGTACGACATACATACGTTCTACGTATAACATACATACATACATACGTTCTACGTATGACATACATACGTACGACATACATACGTACAACGTACAACATACATACGTACGACATACATACATACATACGTACAACATACATACGTATGACATACATACGTACTACGTACGACATACATGCATACATACGTATACGTACTACGTACGACATACATGCATACATACGTATACGTACTACGTACGTACATGCATAAGTATAGGGGGAAGGAAAAGAGAGAATACACAATAAATATGTTACATAATTTTATTTAAAAAAAATTTCTTTGCAACCACCATTTATGTATTTTGAATACATTTTGCAAGGCGCAATTTTTAGCGTGACGTCCGCATCTTATAGTATCAGCGGCATCTATATCGGCTAAAGATTTTATGTCTTCGTAAACTGCATCCAAGGTCTCGATGTGCACGCGTTCTCGTTCATCGTCCAGAAGCAAATTCCGCAGCCACGTTCGTTTCTCACGTCCCTTGACGTACACGACAGCATCCTCCTCGCATACAGCACTCGTAATCAGGCGTTTCGCCTCGCTGTACGGGGTCGTTCCATCCTTCCATCGTAATCCATGGTGATAGACAATCAACCAGGAAGCGCAAGACCTGTCGGATCTTGTCAAAAACCTCCATGGTACGGGATTCGTAAAAACGTAGTGCGTGAGTACGGTCCCGTGTTTCAGTACCGCCATTTCCTTCACGACGAATCTTTCGTTGACGATGAAACCTTGCAGATCCACGAACGTCAGTACATGCATATCGTCGAGATGAAGAAGACTGCGATCGTTGTCGATGTATCGTAGATTTTTATATCGCGCGCTTAGATAATTTTACGCACAATGTTGGTCAGCGGGTTATACTCGATCACGCGATCGTGTATGATGAGACAGTACGCGGTAGTATTCGCGGGTACGTTCTCTTTGCACTCAAAGTCCATTCGCACGTCCACTGTCGCGCTCTTGACCGATTCGTTCTGTCGAGAGCAATCGATGATTACGAACGGACCGTTACGTAAAAAATCCGTAACGGTGAGATTCGGTTCGAGATACTTGTATCCGTAGTAACCCTTGCAGAAACGCGCGTACATGTCGTACAGAATCGCCCATTTGTTTCTAGTGAAATCCAGATTCAAGTCATCGTACGGACAACATTCCGAGTTCAGGTATAGTTTCACGTTGGTCAAGTTACAGTCATCGAATCGACTCGTATCCTCGGACATCTTCTTTCGATCCGTTTGCAGAGCAAAGATGACGTATCGTGGTTTTTCCAGCTGAGTCGCAGTTTTCATAGCCCAGGAATGCTTCGTCGTATTCGGTAAAAGCGGGTACTCGTACAGATCCCACGAGCGAAAAGGCATGCTCAGATATCGTCCACTCTCCAAGGCCCGTAGCATCGACAGTTTATTTATCTCGCTCAATACCACGTGCGGCATTCGCCATTGAATCTTGAACAGTTCAAGCTTCGGCTCCACCGTCGAATTACCCATCAGACAATTCATATCGTTGCGCTTGTATCAGAATCAACTCATGACGAGCGTTGATCACCACACGTCTGTAATCCTCGCAGAATCCCAGTAGTACGTTAAGCGGTACGCAGAAATTAAAGTATCCGTCAGCCTCAGTCTGCGGATCCCAGCCGGCGTTTCACAAAATCACGCTTTTGTCGGAAGACACACCGTCACGTAGTTTTTGAGCGTGCTGGTTATGCCCACGTTTCTGTTACGATCAATCTCCACGCCGTTGAGTTCGTAGCGAATCTCATCGAACATGAAAGCGATGCAATTATTTCCTAGTGCCACGTCAGCGTTCGGTACCGCATTGGTCTTTGTCAATTTTCCTTCGACGTACAAAAATCTTTCGTACGGCAGCGTATACAGATCTTGTTGTTGTATTGGTATTCGTATCTCGTCACTGTATCCGAACGTCGTGTTGGCGAACGGGTTATACGTGTGAGTCTCGATCTTGACGATGCGATCGTCGAAGACAGGCTCGTCCTTGACGTTTAGAATGTCGGTCATCTTTCTCAAAAGTTGCGCACTGCAAATCCCAGAGATTTTAAAAACTCAACGTTCGATGCACTGAGCCTCTTGTTCTTCTTCTTTTCGATGCGTCCGGATGAGCGATGACTGTCGAGCGATGACGTCACAGGCTTTGTAAAGAATATGTTATCTATCTGCTGGTTCAATACGAGCATCTCACGTACGCACGCACGCGTTATCGCTGTCGCCGTCGTACGTGCAATCTGACGGTAATCTCCTCTCCGCGAAAATCGATCAACCGCCCGTTCTGATCAACAATGCGTATCGTTAGATCAGTAATGCTCCGTGCGATGATTGGAAGATAAATGATCTGCGTAGGCCTTTCCGATATCTTATATCTCGGTGGTACTTGCGGTGAAAATTCATGTATCGTGTGTGCGCTGTTACCGTTGCTGTACGCGCCCGCTGTCATGTTGCACTCTACGCGGATAACGTTCACGGTCATTATGTTGACCGACACGTCCGACTGGAGCCATTTTCGTGGTCGTAATATACGCTTTGAGAATCCCTGCAGTGATCCGATGCTGTTTGGTTTGTCAAAGTTTATTCTGAAGGCGCATATAATCTCGCACTTCATCCTGTTGTAGTTTGCGCGGAGCGCTATCGGGTACTCTCCACCCATGTCATCGTCATCGTCGTCATCGCGCGGTACATCACCACGCACCGCGCCACCGCTATCGAGCGGCACTATGTCAACGGTATCGAGCATGTCGCGGTGTGGACGTTTCCTCAAAGTCGCACGTTTCAAAAATTCGTTTATGGCTTGCAGTATGAACCCTTGGGAATCGTAATTTCCTGATCGTCGTTTCCGAAATAAAATTTGTTGTTGGAATCGTTCACGTTCGGTATCGTGTGATAAGTCTCGAAAATCGTCAGACCGAGCTCGTAGTCGTCGTCGCTCAAGTCTATCGCGGGAAAGTAGTTTGCCGCGAGGACGCTGTTCTTCCCGCTCAGCGTAAGTGTCAACGACATGATGGTTCGACGAGCACTGAGACTTCACGACGCCTCGTCGAGCTTTTTAAAATTTGACCGTTTGTAGAAACCGCAGACATATCTGTCCGCAAAAGTTCTGATCGTACGTCTGATAGGACGTTCGATTGTACTCTATCGTAGTCGTAACGCCGAAATATCGCACGAGTTCCTTGGGCGGTCGGAGATTGCCGAAACTGTCAAGGTACACGACATGTTCGCGTACGCTACCCAATGAATACCAGGGCCTGTCGCATCGTCCAGATTCACGATACCGCTTTCGTTTCGGCGCGCGCCGCTCGTCGGTAACGCGTTACGCATGAAAACTCCTCTAAAGTACGGTACGTGCATACGTTTTGCAAGTTGTAGTTGTTGCACGTTGGTGGTTGCGCCCGTAGGCATTTTTATCGTTTCTTCGACGTTTTTTTTTTTTCGTTTGTATGGACCGAGATACAGCCCGCGTCCGTATCTGTACGGAGCGAGATACAGTCCGCGACCCTGTTCCATCGCGCGATCGTGACGTTGCAGCTCCTCGAGCTGACGCCGCGCGGCTTTGCTGTCGTTTACCGCTTTCGCAACGCCGGCCGCTCCGCCGATCAGGGATCCGAGGGCGCCCAACATTGGCAGAATCGGCAACATGCCGCCTCGTTTCGCGGTCGGAAGAATCCGTTCTTTTGTCGTCTTTTTTTTCCCCTCGTCGTCTTCTTCTTCATGCCGATGCCAATCTTGGTCTTGGCTTTCATAGCCGTCCAGACAGCTGTAACAGCAGCTCGCTCTTCGAGAGTCGAATCTTTCGCGGTAATGCGTTTCCGCGCCTCCTCTGCGAGTATGTTGTCAGCTACGTATCGTTTCGCAAGATCTTTACACCGCGAATAAGCTATGTCATGTTCGCGACAAGCCGCGTCCAGCGGATTAATGCCTCTATCGCCTCTAGCCAATCGCTTCACTAAACGTGTTCCTGGACCACAAAATTGCCCAGAGAACAATTTGACGTCTTAAAGACGTCATAAAGACGTCCTAAAGTTCATTAAACTTTTTTGGAAGTACCAGAATGACGTCTATATGACGTCTCAAAGATGTCTTATGCGTCGATTTATGACGTCTTAAAGATATTATCTTTAAGATAATTGATCATAAATCAATGTCCATAAGACGTCTTAAAGATAATATCTTTAAGACGTCTTATGGACATTGATTTATGATCAATTTCAGATATGTTAAATCGTACAGACATTATCCTTTAGACGTCTTAAAGACGTCTTAAAGACGTCTTACAGATGTCTTTTAGACGTCTTTTAGACTTCTTAAAGATAATATTTTTAGATCAAGATTTCAGAGGCTTTTATTTTAGACTTATTTTATTTTTAACTATTATTAATTTTTAAATTTTTTTCACAAAAAATAAATATAAATTTTTTTTAATTTCAAATTTATTAATGTTTACATATTTAATAATTATTTACAATAATAATACATATTTACATAATTAAATATATTTAGGCCTGCGCAGAATAAAAGGAACAGGAAACAGAGAACAGAGAATAAGAATTTCAACCTATCAGAAATCATATACTGTGGAATAAACAGTGTGTATTCCATAGTATATGATTTCTGATAGGTTGAAATTCTTATTCTCTGTTCCCTTTATTCTGCGCAGCCTTTATAATGCGCCAACGATAATTCGCTGAAGGCAAAATGGAAAAGCGGGAAAATGCTTAGTCGGCAGTGATAATGCCGTCAAGTTGGTAATGTTAACGTCGAAGTGCGGCTAGACGTAATCTCTCGATTTCTAGAGCTTGTCCCAATTCTAGAATTCGCACTTGTGCCTCCATTTCGAGTCTTTTAGCTTGATGTAAACTTAGATTAGACATATCTAGATCTTCTGTAAAATTTAAATACGGGAGTATTAAAAAAAAATTAAATAACAGTACACGATGTGATATAATAATTTAATGTATTTTCAAATTAAATACCATTTTCCTCAACAAGATGATTGCAGCTTTTAGCAGTTGCCACAATATTCGCTGTAGCTTGAGTCACTTCTCTCGTAGCTTTAGGGCGACTGTTACCAACGCCGATTAACTTGATCGACGATTAACCCAATCAGCAGTGTAGCCTACAGCAAGACTGTGTATCGTTCTTAACCTTCTTTTCATGATGTAGTACTTGTATCTCTGCGTTTCTACAGTGCCTACTTCACTGTGATGAAAGTAATAATTATTGTCTGTCTATAGAATAGTAATTCCCTCAAAAATATGGAATCAAAACGAGCAAAAAGTTTTACGGATATTGAAAGAAATGATTTAATAGATAAAATATTCTCATATCGTGATATTGTTGAAAATAAACAAACCGATAATACAATGACCGAGAAAAAAAACAAAGCGTAAATAAATTATTATCCTGTTCTCGTTATATTCATTAGCAATGTCGGTCCACGCTTTGTTCTTTTTCTCGGTCGTTGTATTACTGGTTTATTTATTTTCAACAATTTCACGATATGTGAATCAGGAGACGCGGTAGCGTCTCCGGCCATGTTCAAAAACTGCGAGACGCTACAAGTCTCTTATCCCGAGCCACCAAAGTCCATTTTTGGGAGGTGCATAATTACTAAAATATAAAAAATTTTGAATCAAACATTATATGTCTTGAAAGGCGGCATCGCCACAAGTAATTTGAGCCAAAAAAATTTTAAATCGGTCAAGCCGTTATGGAGATATAAGCGGTCGAAAAGTGGTGATTTTTATGAAAAATTAAGAAACGTCTCCTTCTTCTTCTCCTTCTCCATCTCCTTCTTCTTCTCCTTCTCCTTCTTCTTCTCTGTCCGCATTTTTAAACTTTTCAACATCCTCTCTCACCTTTCACTCGCACCTCCACCATCATTGGTCCATCGAACCTTCTCCACTCGCCCCTCCCCCTTCCCCCACCACTGACTCCCGCCACCCCTCTCTTTCACTGTATTTCACATTCTTTCGTTATTACA